CATGATGAGGACTGTGGCCACCCCTACCAGGTGATTTGTTGTTGCCCCATGGATGTAATTCAATACCCCTAGAACCAGCAGTACTCATCTAAGCCTGATGGTGGCAGCAGTGATACCATCATGCAAAATTTCCTTCTTTGACATTTTAACGCTGGTATATTAACCAAAAACTGAATAGAAAATGCAACAAAAAAATCCACAACATCATAGTCCTAGAGAGGTATAATTCAGAATGTTTGTTCTTTTCTGAAATAGGTTTTATAGGGGCGACTTTGTCTCTGCAGTCACCTAGAAGCCTTCTATCTCATTAAAGATAAAGAACATTACTCCACCCATTTAATGTATATATTATGCATAACCGTAAATTCATATAAATGGCACTAATGTATAAATATGTGCATAGCTTTATCAGCAAGTTCCCTAATGATAATCTGGTCTATCTTTAGTGATTTATTTGTAAAATATGAAGCTCTAGCGAAAGTTCAATTGAAGAAACTCTGACTTACCTCCATCAATCAGAAGCCGATCCGTCTCTGAAGCGAGCCAATCAGCTTCGAACTACTCCACCACGAAGCCCAATCAGCGTCCTGCTTCCACTTTATAAACTCCCTCAAATCTCACCACAGCCGCTATCCTGCAATCGCTGTCGGATTTCGATTCAGACGACAATTCAATTTTCCCTGCTCGGAGAAGCTCCCGTCTAGCCGCTCTCATCTCCTTCTTCCGCGTTACACTCCAAGGGTATATTGCCAGGCTCCGACCTAAACTCTGCTCAGATGTCTTAACGAGCCTCCCTCCTACCTCCTCGTGATTCATCTCCCTCGCCTTCCGCTTCAATCCGCTCCGATTCCTGGCCGCAAAAGACATGCAAGTCCTCTGCTCCCGTCGCCAGGCGCAGAAGGCCTCCCGGATCTGTCCCAGCAGCAGTCACCGCTACGCCCGCTCCTTCTCATCGTTTCGATGCAGCCTTGGACCTCTTCAGCTTCCTGATTCATAGCAGCTCCCCCGTCTAGTACTTCTGGCGTTTAACAGCTCTCAGCCTCCCTCCGCTCCACCGGACTCTCTCACTCAATCCGTTTGACGCTGTCCGCACGCTCCAACTTGGAAATCCCTGCACTGCCACGTCATCCCTGCCGCTGTCTGCTTAGACGGACCTCCCCCTCCCCTCATTCACATTAGGGAACGCCCGCCGGGCCAGCCTTAGGGTAAGACGTATTCAACCATGTTTTCATTCATAATTTTCTATCTATTTGAGTTTGCTGCTATGCTTCGTCTGCCTCTATCAGGCATACTTATATTAACACACATGCTGATATTTTCACTAGCCTCGTTCTAAATTATTCAGGGGAATATTTTAGTCTCTTATTCTTCCCTCCCCTGAAGTCGATCAGCAGGTCGCATCAGCAGGTGACGTCACAGTTTTCCTTAAATCATCCGATCTCCGTCTACCAGAGATCTTCTATTGGCCAAATTTTTTTTTTTTTGGCCGCATTCAGCATCTATCGTGATTACTCAGAGCTTCTGCAGTAGGGCCATCCGATCAGTCTGTCCCTGCCTGTCCCTGCCGTGCACGCTTTATATATCGTACCTCAGTCTTAGCAGCCCGTCATCTTACCACCCCTTATTATTACTTCTGATTATCGTTCTGTCTTCTTCTTCTTCTTTAAAAAAAAAAAAAAAAAAAAAAAATATAAACAAAACTGATGTTCTACATCAGTCATTTCTAAATGCCAATTGCGCTCCTTGCTAGGTCAGCTAATTTGCCATGCGCTTATTTCTCAAGGCCGCTCTTTCATTCCCAGTTGCTTGATCCGGCAATTTCCGTCCCTCTCCTTGGTCAGATTACTGAACGTAGGCTGCCGTTCGGATCCTATGGTCTGACTGCTTCTAAATTGGAACAAAATTTCTTTTCTATGTCGGCATTATCTATCTCCCGCCATGCTTCAAAAATTTTACGGATGCTGCATCCGTAGGTTTTGGGGGGTTCTTCAGGACAGGTGGTTCACGGGTTCATGGGCTCTTTTATTCACACCCATTATGCTTGTGTGAGGTCTAACCCTAGCTAGCTTGCATCGTGGGGCTTGGGAAGGAATCGCGTCCGCCCACTGCGATAACTTCGTAGTAGCTGAAGCCACTAATAAGTCACTCCTCCTCCCAGTCTCTCATGCCTTCATCAGAAGCATCACTGGCAGCAGTCACTAACGTTTCATCATCTCGGCGCGTCATGTTCAGGCATTCAAGCACTTTTATCCGCCCACTCATGGTTCCTTCACCACCTCAGGATACTCTTAGAATCACGTGGCTTCCCTCTAGTAGGTAATCTGGGCATTCGTTCTGGACCGAGCAGCTGCATTGCAGCTACTCGCGGGGTTCTGAGGCTTCCCTCAGCGCTGGGCCGATGGTTCACCAGCCTATACCTCATTCATCCGCCCAGAACTCTCACCAATTCTCTCAGCTCAGTGCTCTCTCTGCCTCTAGGTAACTCTATTACAAATACTGGTGGTGGTTCAACTCATTTTCATAATTTTCTGACCAAATCACGACCATCCTCTAACTCATTTTCTACTCCCACTCCTTATCAGTTTTCTTCATTATTCCCTGCTTCATGCAGTCTTCCATGCTGTCTCCTTGCTATTCATGCTATCTTCATTCTGGCTCGCATTCATGCAATCTCACCTTTATGACGGGCATTTATATGCATTCTCCTGTGTGTCACGTCACGTCTGGTCTGTGTCTCGTCATGCATCCTTGACACCATTTAGCATGCATTCCCTAATGCATCAATTCTTCATATATGTTACCATCGCAAGATTCATTATCAGACTCATCTGCAAGATTCATTATCAGACTCATCTGCAAGATTCATTATCAGACTCATCCGCAAGATTCATTATCAGACTCATCCGCAAGATTCATTCCCTAATGCATCACATGCTCCCTATCTGTGTCTCGTCGTGTCTCGTCATGCATCCCTTACGCCATTTTGCTTGCATTTCCAATGCATCAATATGCACCATGTCTGCGTCTTGTCATGTCTGTATCCCGTCATGTTATATGTTCTATATGGACTCATCCGCAAGATTCATTATCAGACTCATCCGCAAGATTCATTATCAGACTCATCCGCAAGATTCATTCCCTATGCATCACATGCTCCCTATCTGTGTCTCGTCGTGTCTCGTCATGCATCCCTTACGCCATTTTGCTTGCATTTCCAATGCATCAATATGCACCATGTCTGCGTCTTGTCATGTCTGTATCCCGTCATGTTATATGTTCTATATGGACTCATCCGCAAGATTCATTATCAGACTCATCCGCAAGATTCATTATCAGACTCATCCGCAAGATTCATCATCATCATAATGGGATGCGTCGTCGTCGTCGTCATCATCATCATCATCATCATCATCATCCGCAGGATTCATCATCATCATCCGCAGGATTCATCATCATCGTCATCATCATCGTCATGGGTTCATCATCGTCATCATCATCATGGGATCATCATCGTCACCATCATCATCGTCACCATCATCATCATCATCATCATGGGATCATCATCATCATCATGGGATCATCATCATCATCATCATGGGATCATCATCATCATCATCATCATCATGGGATCATCATCATCATCATGGGATCATCATCATCATCATCATCATGGGATCATCATCATCATCATGGGTAAATCATCATCGGTAAGTTCTCGGCGTCTACCGTGGTCGCCATCCTCATCAACAACCTGGCTCGGTAAGTTGTTCGCAAACCTTCTCAGCATTTCATTACGCATTCTTTATTCTGTCCCTAGCGTATGCCCTACGAGCATACGGACTCTCCGGCCTCGGCTTTTTGGGGGAACATCCCTATTCACATTCATCTACTCATGCATGTTAAAGCATAATTCAGCATGAATGCTCCTGCCGAGGTCTGAGCGCCAAAGACTATACTTTCTTATCAATAAATTCTTCTAATTATCTTTTCTCTCTGTGTGAGTTTTTCAGATTGAAATGAAGCTCTAGCGAAAGTTCAATTGAAGAAACTCTGACTTACCTCCATCAATCAGAAGCCGATCCGTCTCTGAAGCGAGCCAATCAGCTTCGAACTACTCCACCACGAAGCCCAATCAGCGTCCTGCTTCCACTTTATAAATTCCCTCAAATCTCACCACAGCCGCTATCATGCAATCGCTGTCGGATTTCGATTCAGACGACAATTCACCCACCTCCATCCCCTTCTCCGCCATCGCAGCTGAATCGTCCTCCATGACACGACTTCACCTCAACCTCATCAGAGAGTATTAATCCCAGTTGTCACCATCCCTCGCCTCATCGCATTGGTCCGGCAGAAGACCACCATGTTGAGCCCGGTTCTGCCAGAGGTTTCTTCCCAAAGGGGAGTTTTTCCTCTCCACTGTCGCTTCATGCTTGCTCATCATGGACACTTCACGGTGCCTGCATCACCGAGCAGGACCTCTATATCCCGAGTCTGAGTGAAGCCCCGGCGTCAGCTCCCTCAGTCTTCTAGTCCCACAATTCTGCCCAGCAGATCACCTTGTCAACCAGCTCGGATTAAACCACCACCAGTTTCAGGCCCGGGGGGAACATCCCTATTCACATTCATCTACTCATGCATGTTAAAGCATAATTCAGCATGAATGTTCCTGCCGAGGTCTGAGCGCCAAAGACTATACTTTCTTATCAATAAATTCTTCTAATTATCTTTTCTCTCTGTGTGAGTTTTTCAGATTGAAATGGATGTTGTATGCATTGATTTTCTTGTTGGTTTAAATTGATCAGTATAGACATAAGATGTTTTTGGCACCTGCACAACCACGCCTCTGAAAAATTTCTGGAACCGTCACTGGTTAGGCACCATGCTAATGTGGTCACCTCTGGAAATCCTTTAGCCACCCCAGAAATAATTTCCTAGAACCGCCACTGTGGGGAATAAGGAAAAACAATGAGGGTCTCCTTAAGAGCCATTTGACTTACGTTGTATTCCGGTTGGACTTCGGAGCTGGATGTGGTGCTGGTGCTCTGAGCTGAGTCTTTGGAGTCTTGTTCCATTAATTCCAAACAAGGAGCCTGTGGAGTCTCTCTGGACACAACAGGGGCTCTGCGAGGATCAGCGGCACACTGGAAGCAGATAAGATGGAAAAATGGGCTTCCTGTGTTAAGAAGCAGCACTGAACCAAATTTTTTTTTATATCAGGGTAATACTGATCGAGGATTTTGGCTGATTTGTTGTTTTTTGACAGACATAAATATGTTCAAATTAATTAAATATATGAAAAAAGGCGAGTAATTGTATTTACACATGCATACATAGAGTACGCTTATTTTCTTACAAGACAAGATGACTATTCTAGCTGTTCATTTTAATCATCAACGACAATTTGGAGAAAGAAACTATTTATTGTTGCGGCTCATTTTACTTCATTTTTTTTACAAATTCTTCAAAATAGTGTGTTAGGTTTCTGTTTTTGTGATGTTTTTCTTTGCTCTTTGTTTTATAGTTTTTTATAGTTTAATTCTTAGTTTATTGTGTTCTTTGGGTTTTTCTCAGTTACTGTCTCAGTCTTGGATCTGTTATATTTTCTTTTTAGTGTTCAGTTTTGCTTTACTCCTTGTTTTCTAGTGTTAGTGGTTTCATTTTTATTTTTGCTGTGTTCTCTGGTTAATTCTTAGTTACTGTCCCAGTCTTGGTTCTTTTATGTTTTCTTTTGAGTGTTTAGTTTTACTTTGCTCCATGTTTTATAGTCTTAGTGGTTTAATTATTATTTTGTTGTGTTTTCTAGTTATTTCCAGTCTTCCAGGTTTTTCATTTGTTGCCCTCTGCTGCCCTCTTGTGTTCTCCTTTCTCCCTAGCTCCTGTTTTGTTTCTGCTCTGTGCTCACCTGTACCCAATCTTCTCATTAGCCCACTCTTTGTCTCAGTCTCCTTTAAAAGCCCTCTCTCTTCAGTTCCTCTTTGCTGGGTCCTCGTCTTACTTCGTCAATCTTCCTCCAACTCGTCTCTCTGAGCCTTCCTCCTGGTTACTGTAATTCCCCTGATGACTCCATGGTTTCTGGTTCGTTTTTACTTTTTTTTTAATGCTTTGAATTTTGGACTCCTGGTTTCTTGTTTGTTTTTTGGACTTTGTTTTCATTTCTGGGTTTTGGATTCTTGGTTGCCTGTTTGTTTGGAATTTGTTTTTTCAGTAACTCTTCATTAAATCAACTATAAATTCACCTCTTCCTGCCTCTGCTTCTGGGTCCTCCATCCACAAACAAATCGTGACATAGTGACAGTGTGATGACAAGAGATTAAACTGGTTTTTGCCAAAGATGTTTGAGGTGTGCAGAGATGCTGTTTATTTTTTACCGAACCTAGACCGGATTTGCATTGCTAATTTAATTGCTAATGTAAGCCTGGCAATTACAAGACCTGATGTTACTTTGCTCATTTTTACCTTAACATAAACTATTTTGGTCAACATAGTGTAATTAAATGAATGAGCTTTACAGATCAAACTGACACCGTGCAGATATGTCAAATGTTTACTACCATTGTTATGCTTTGCTCCTGTTTGCGGTTCTGCCTGCGAGGTTTCGTGTTAGGGTGTGCCGTAAGGCCAGCCTGGTAGATGGTTCTTGGTCTTGGCCTCTGTCTCAAACCCAACGGAGACTTTCCTGAAGGCTTTTTCTGGAAATAAAAAAGCAAAAAATAGGACAAAAATAAATTTCTTCTGTCCAATTGCAACAAAAAAGTGAAAGCCTCCATGTTTCAAGACCCATTACATCGCTGTAGGAGTCCCAATCCCGTTCCTCCTCCTCAGTCTTCTTCCTGCCCCTCTTCCTGCTTCCTCTCATACATTGGTTACCATCTGGCAGAAAATGTGAACACGGAGAGAGAGAAAAAGGCAACAACAGAAGGTCACACAGATGGCAGAGGAGAAAGTGAATATCTTTAGGTCTTTCCCGTTTTGTCTCAATTGCTTTGCAGTTAAAGAGCGAAACTTGAGTTTGCAACCTGTCAAACCACTATAATGTAAAGATTTTCTATAGAAGACTACAATAAAGTTCCAGCTGCTATTGAAATAATAATTATAACGTTTTGTTATTATATAAATCTAACCTCAGAAAGTCATAAATCCATAGGCGGATCTACTGGGGTGGCATAGGGTGGCAAATGCCACCCTAAATGACAGCCTTGCCACCCCAGCTGCCACCCCAGTTGGCGGTAGGGATGGCGAGGCTTATAAATTATGGATCATTTGAGAATTACGACCGCTAATTTCCAATGTCGGACTGCAGGGAATGCAGCACGAGATGACACGAGAGCGCCTGAGACTGATTGTTTTGAAAACCGAATGAGGCAAAGCGAGGGAGCCAGGGGTGATGGGGAGAGGAGACACGGGATGAAACAGGTAAAAATTGATTAACTATCTATCGAGAAATGAAATCATAATGAAAGCACAATGTTGCTAGCATAGCTGCAATGCTAATTTTGAGATGATAAAAATAAGGTTGCAGAACGTTATTTCTCTAACTATGATGTTAGTTAGGCCAGACGTCTCAGGCCCATAAGGACATATTTGCGGTCAACTATGACAGAAAAGAGACGATCAAGTTTGATTGTACTCAAATCAAAAAGCACAAAGACATTGGATCTAAATAAAGTTGTGAAGCGTTTTGCTGAGCAACATGGAAATCACGGCATTCAGCTGTTATAGTCATGTTAACTTTATGTTATGCTCTCTGGTGAGCCTTTACAGAGCTGCTACATTTTGTTTTGGCACCTGAGAAAATCTGATATTTCCTTTAATAAAACCAAAAGTGTTAAAAGTTAAAAATGTGATACTGGTGTGAATCCTGCTTAACATGAAGCAGTGTTGTTGTTTCTTTTTTTGTATATATAATATGAAACTATCCAGAAATGACCTGTATCAAAAAAAAAAAAAAGTCAAAAAGCCTTTATTGTCATTATATTCTGCAGCATAATGACAATAAAGGCTTTTTGACTTTTTTTTTTGATACAGGTCATTTCTGGATAGTTTCATATTATATATATATACAAAAAAAAAAAGAAACAACAACACTGCTTCATGAACCTACTCACAAGCAAAATGTATTTTTATGTTGCTTCTTTTCAGATTTGTGGAGATTTTGATGTAACATACAGAACCCGCCTTTTTGTTGATTTGTTGATACAGCAGTATGGAGGACCAACTCTGCCATATTTAAAAATAAATACAGAAATAAATAAATGCTTAATAAATAAATAAGCATACAATTAATTGCCACCAAAAATACAAACAACAAATAAATGTAAGTAGAAATTAAATTATACAGCTAGTCATAAAGGTATATAACTCTTTTAATTGGCTTCTTTATTTCTTTGCCTTTTTAATATTTACCTTATTTATTTTTTTGTCATTTATTACCTTCAACTTCATTTTTTAATTACTTATATTTTGAAGTATTTATTTATGTGTATGTTATAATATTTTTGTCTGTTTTATTCTTCCTTTGTATTTTTTACCCTAGTTATTTCTTCGCCGCTACTTATTTCTGCCTGCCCTTTTTACATTTCTGTATGCCATTATAATATAATTTCTAATTACATTTATTTGTTGATTGTATTTTTGGTGGCAATTAATTGTATGCTTATATATTTATTGAGCATTTATTTATTATTTCTGTATTTATTTTTAAATATGGCAGAGTTGGTCCTCCATATATAGCTCTATCTACAGCAGATCTACATGCATGAAATGTCCCTTTCATGTTGCCTTAACTGCTGTATGTCAAGTTACTGAGAAACAAATGGGGTAAATGTGTGTTCAGAGTAAACAATACATAGATGTCCAGTACCTTGTTCGGGTGCCTTGACCCATTTATTTCTACTGTGTAGTTCTGCTCACTTTATTCCAGCTCAGTCCATAGATCTCTGATGGGTAAGTTTTTCTTTCTATAGTTTCTTCTTGTGCAAATGCTGCAAAGCTGCCTCTCTGACAGTCAATCTCACACATCTGCGACTCAGCACCTGTGTCTTACCTTAATACCTTTCCTGTGATAATACCCTCTAGAAGTAGTGTTATCATTCTTCTATCTCCTATTAAGTGAGATCACATTGTACGATGTATTATTAATATGAACTGTTTCACATGAAATACTAGTACTGTACATACTATTCTCAACAAACTGTGATTAAATTCAGTGTAAACAAATGCCATATGTTGCCACCCCTAAAAAATTCCTGCCCCCCTCTTGCCACCCCATACATATTTTTCTAGATCCGCCCCTGCATAAATCAAATCCTATACAGTCATTATTTTAATATAGCAAAACTAAGAATTAGAGAGTGAATAAGAAGTTTACATAACTCATAAAAATAAACGTCATGTTCTTCTTTGGCTTTCAAGGATTTATTTCATCCTTTTTTTGCTTCAAGATAGAATAAATAGAAAACTACTAACTCAGATATTTCACAAAGTAGAACTTGATGCACAAATGTACATGTACTGTTGCATTTCTATAAATTAAACAGGGAAAGAATCAGATGTTATTACTGATTTAATTTCTCTTAGCCCACTTTTTCAACCATCTGCAGGTTTCTGACAACAGTCTTTCTGTATTTTCAGAAATATGTGGAACGCCTTGGGGTTCCTCCTGAAGAGCTGGAAGAAGTGGCTGGGGAGAGGGAAGTCTGGGCCTCCCTTCTTAAGCTGCTGCCCCCGCGACCCGACCCCGGATAAGTGGAGGAAGATGGATGGATGGATGGATGGATGGATGTGGATCTCCCTAAATTTGGTCAGTTTCCTGGCTCATAAAATCTACACATGTTTAGCACTTTGGGAGGAACACTCTTAAGGCCATAATGTTAGATTGCCAAAAGCAGTTTGGTCCGTTCTGGGTTCTTGGGCGTTGTCCAGCTGGAAGAAACACATGTGACCATGTTTCATCCAGTTTTTTTCAGTTGAATTTTTTAGTGTTCAAAATTCAAACTCAATATTTTCAGCCTCCTAAGATTCAACTGGCGTCTAAATTCAGTGTAAAAAGGGAAGGGTTACTCAACTACAGAAAAATGAAAGTAATAAACTCACCATTGAGTTAGCGTTAGCTTGCAGCACTTACTTCATCATGCTGGTTTTCCTTCCGTATGAGCGCCAAAAGCGTCACGTGACTGAGACGTAACGTAACGGGATTGGCTGGGTGTTGGACACCGCAATCCATTGCTAGTCTCTGACCTGAAGTAACCCTTCCCTTTTTACATTGAATTTAGACTTCCATACAAAGTCCACTGGATTGTTCTTTAACTTTTTTGAAACATAGCTACTGTGTGATGTCCATAAAGAGAGGATATCAAGATATCAAGATGTCAGAGTCTTGCTCTGTTTGTTCCTGTTTTTTTTGGTTATCCATTTGTTGTCCTCTGCTGCCCTCTTGTGTCCTCCCTTGCTCTGTTTTCTGTCACTTGTCTTCGATTCCCTAATCAGCTCTCTCTTTGTCTCTGTCCCCTTTAAAAGCCCTCCCCCTTCAGTTCCTGTTTGCTGAATCCTCGTCAAACATCTCGTCTAACTTCTGTCTGTGTTCCTCGTCTCTCCCTGGCTTCCAGATTTGGTTTTCCCCTGATGTCTCCTTGGTTCAGGTGCGTTAGCAGTTTTCTGTTGGACTTTGATTCCTGCCCCTGGATCTGTGAACTTTAATAAATTGACTTTAATTCACCTCTGCCAACTGGTCTCTGCATTTGGGTCCTCCTAACAAACACCGCTTCATGACACAAGATGTCAATTTTTCACCAGCATTGTACTTTCATTTTTAAATGTCTGCATTATTTTTATATGTGAAGAATCGCCTGGCTTTCCTGATGCCCTATTTAAAACCTCATGTGTTTAATTTCATTGTTCTTTTTCCCTGCATGGTCATAAAGCCCAAAGCGACTCCAGATGTCCTTGTTTAAAAAACTTGGTGTGATTTCTAATTAGGTTTTAATGTCTGCCAAGTTCTGTATCATCCACCATTGGCATTAGTATGACAATAAACTTACACAACGTCATGTTTTGGTTGCATCACACCTGTTAAAGCAGCCTCCCTGTCTTTTTCCTGGTGGAAAACCTCAAATAAGCAATTGTTTATGATGATTTATTTTTGGACAGCAAACATGTTGCTCGATAACTATTTAGGTCTGTGTTAATGATGCTTAAAAAAAATCAAGACTTATCAACCCAGTACTATTGATACAACTACAGTGGAATCCGCTTATAAGGGTCACGTTGGTCCAGAGCCAATTTGAACACTTTAAGCGGTTGACTATTAAAACCGGATTTACCTTTATTTCACTTATTTTTTTATGCAGAATATCATCTTAATGCCATTTGTATGTAAAATGAAATGAAACGGATAGCTTTCCCGCATTTACTGAAATTTATTACAGTGCCATGCAACTTTAATTACAGTATACTGCGCTGTGCGCAGACATACCTCTGTTAGCCTACGTAACTTATTATGTGCTGTGCGTCGGCTCTGCTGTGCCGCTGGCGCATTTTTTTTAAACAAGTCTGAAAATAAAGTTTGAAACAAATGCTTAATCACAGCACGGTACTGCGCAGTACGCGGACATAACTCTGATAGCCTACAGTAGGCCTATTAGGGGTGGAACGGTTCACAAAAACCACAGTTCGGTTCGGTTCATGGTTTCATGATCACGGTTTTCGGTTCGGTATTTGTTGATTGTTAGGAAAATCAATAAGCTGACATGTTGGTTGTGTTGCTGTTAGCATAAACAACACGTTTTGCACAATGCTTGCACACTGTTGCACTTTTATCCACAACTTTCTTTCCGCCGTCATCGTAGGTCACTCTAAATGCAAAGTGGTCCCATACAGCAGACCTATAAAGTGCTGCTGGCGCGTCTTCCAATTCCTGTTCTTTCCCACTCGCCATACCCACACAATTCTCCACAACAACAGATTTTTTTTCTGCTACACCTGGCTACGCTACTTTGCTTCTTCTTCTTGTTTACTACTGGTGGTTGGCTTTGGTCGCAGTACCGCCACCTTCTGCTCTTGAGTGTACACGCTTCGCCTATGAGAAAAAGGAGCAGCGCATGAACCAAACGCAACACACGCGAATCGAACCAAGACAGTCGAACCGAACTGTTCGGACAGTTTTCATAAACTGTTCCATCCCTAGGACCTATGTAACTTATTCTGTGCGTCGGCTCTGCTGTGCCACCGGTGCACGTCTAACATCTCAGCTCTGGAAGGGACAACAGTCTCCTCTTCTTCATCCTCTTCGCCCTCCTCACTGCACTGGTACCCGCACCAAAGCACTCTTGTACCTCCGAGATGTAATTTTAAAGTAATTTTCACACATGTTAACATTCATAAAATGACCAAAAATAAACACTATAAGCGGATTTTCTGATTACTATAAACAAATTATTTAAATAGCCTTTGTATAGAAATGATTCTGTCCAAAGCCTTTTGATCTATGTAAGCGGTTCATTACTATATCCATGAACCTCTATAAGTGGATTCCACTGTATATAAATCTTTATTCAAAGTACATTGAGTAAAAAAGGCCTAAAATGAGATGTTTTATAGAGACAGTGTTGAACCATAAATGTACCTGGGGGTGAGGCAGCACCTCCGTTCAGTTTGGGGCTGAAGGGAGAGGGCGGTTCAGCTGCAGTCATGGGGCTGTTGTCATTGATCAACTCAACGCCGCTGTCGTTCTCCATTGGGCTTTCTGCAACAAGTGGCGTGGCTCCATTCACTGCTGCCTGAGGATAAAACATCATGTGTTCATGAACGTTATATAGCAGTGACACGTAGAGGAGGGGAGGGGTGAGGTGGAAAGACTGTTAACATGTTACTCACATCAGCCAAATAAAAAAACCTTATTATTAATCAAGGGGACACTTAACCTGGCATAAGCCGGATCGATACAATGTAGAATTTAAATGGAGCTACGCATATGGATCTGGGACATTCAGTACAATTCTTCGAGCTCATTGGGTACCTTCCTTCCATGAGTTTTTTAGCCAGCAACAGTAGCAGCTTTATTTGTTTTGCCACTAGTGGAGTAACTGTTAAATCAAACTCTTACCAAATACAGTCAGTGGGAACATACATCACCTTCCTACCCACCAAGGCAAAAGCTGTGTCCTTTTGCTCGTTTAAAAAACATCTGACGTGTTGTCATACACGTCACTGCATTTCACTGGTCAAAAACATTTCTGTATCTGTTGTCTCCTAGAAAGATTTGTTTTTGGGAGTTTGTGAATATTGAGTTTGTGAATATTTGCTTGCAGGTAAGGGGGCACCAAACACAGCTGTTGGAGACAGAACTCTTGTTAAACATGCGTTTTGCAGTTTGCGTCGGTTATTTAAAACAGTACTCATCAACAAATGGGGAGGTTTTTAGAATGAAACCACCATTCCTTGTAGATATAGTTACTTGGAACAGTGAGGGGCCAAGTGGGCTTCTACACCGGTAGCTACCTCTGGTTACATATAACGGTCCTTAAATGAAATTATTTTGCTCCACCTCGATAAGAATTTATATAACAAGACGTAACAGGAAACAGGGTAGTGCACATGATGAGTAAAGTGTGAACAGCCCTAAACCAAGCAATTTAATAACACAATGGAGCTGCAGAGATCAGTGGGCAAGGTTGGAAGACTGATGACAGAACAATTTCTAGTGTCATCTTAAAATCTTCAAATCCCCCTAAGGATAAAAGGCCTAAGAAAGCAGCTCTACATGAGTCAGTGGAACAATGAGCTTTACTCGGGGCGTTGGTCCTGCTGTAAAATGTATAGTTTATGTAGCAAAAAAAAACAAAATCAGACACCCAACTCTGTACTTCAGTCAAAGTACAGGCAGCTTATAATGCATTGACGTTGTTTCCATCTGACTCAACAATTAAGACATAACGCAAAAAATACAAGACAGTATAAACATTTATTTGAAAAAGTGAAAGCGAGTGAGTCATTTATTTAAAGTGTGCTTGTTTGTTGAGAGGATAACTAGAACATAGTTCTGAGGGTACTCCTACCTGAAAGATTGTTTTTATAGCTCTGTTCAGTCCTGTTAACCCTTTATAGGTTGAGTTACCATTTTTGATCACTTGCATACCCTTTACAAATGGAGTGCCATTTCTTTTACTCTCAAGAATGTTTTTCATGAATTTCTTATAGTTATTTTTCTTAATATATACGGGCAAGTTGGCATTTCTTGTTATTACATTGACATTCATTTATGCCATCAAAATATACATCTTTTTTAATGTTACAAAGGTAATAAGGTCTTGTCCTGGATTCCACTAATACACTACAAAAATTATTTATAAATTTGTGAAAATGTTTTAAAGTAAGTGTATTTACCCTTAAACTGAGTAGGTAAATAAGAAAATCTCCCAGTTGAAGGAGCATTTTTATCCTTAAAATCAGATAATTTGATATTATGCACTTGAAATAGGAGACTGCATTTTCCCCCCTTATTTTAAATGTTAATTTTCTTATTCCATTTGCAAAGTATCTCACTTACCTCACTGCAAAAAATATAAATCTCAATAAGTTATTTTTTCTTAAAATAAGTGTGTTTTTCCTTGATTTGAGGAGATAAGTAAGACACTTTGCCAATGGAACAAGACAATTTCCTTTTAAAATAAGAAAAAACTATTTTATCGTCTTATTTCAAGTAAATATTATCTAACTATCTTATTTTAAGAGTGAAAATACTCATTCCATTGGCAAATCATCTTATTTACCTGCTCAAATTAAGGCTAAATATACTTAATTTAAGCCATTTTTTACTTATTTCTGGATTGTTTTTGCAGTGCTGCTCAGTTCAACAAAAAATGCACTTATTGATGCGCTTATTTTAAGAAAAACTGACTTACTTAGATTTCAGTTTCTTGCAGTGTACTCTTTGCTTGAAATTTAGGTGTTTAAAGTCGTTCACTGAATGCCCTATAAAGGGTTAAAATCCAACCCAAGCATTGCTTAGACCTTTGACTGCCTGCATGCACAGAGCAGCAAGGAAAAGAATATAACATTTGGGACATCTGTCAAGGTTATTTTGGGGCCTCTTCAGTACAACATCCTACTTGTATTTAAAAAGGTTCCCACAACTTGGCAACCATCAAAGACTTTTTAAGGACTTCTGAGGACCAGTTCTATCAAATTTAAGGACCAGGCACAATGGCATTTTTGTACTTTTATGACTGAATGTTACTAATAAATTTTACTACAATGCAAGACACAAAAATTGTGTGGTGTTTATCTTATAGCCAAGCATCTCTAGGATCACTGTAGCTGTGGCGTAGGTCAGCTCATTGGTCTCAGTTATATCTTTAGTAGGGATAGTATGTAGTGCTGCATTTACATCTTCTAGAAGACTTTCAGAGGGTTCTCTGTCACTTAGCCTTGGCAGTCTTGGTCGTCGTACTAGGGGATCCAGTTTCGTTATGATCTGCTGTCGCAGGTCAGCTGCCCTTACGTTTAGTGGGCTTGTTGTTGTTGGGGCTGGGGACCCAATCTCTGTGTGTTGGGATGATGATATTTCCCTACTGACCTGTTGTCCGCCTTGGTCTATTCTTCTAGATCTTATTCAGTCATTTGGTGAGATTTCAGGTTATACTATTAATTGGCAAAAGTCTGAATTTATGCCACTGGGTGCAGGTCTCCCTACTGAATTCTTAGATAATCTTTTATTTAAGATAACCGACAAACTGAAATATCTTGGAGTTATTTTGCCAAAAGACCCAAAAGAAATTTTCAAACTGAACTTTTTAGTAAAAGTGGATAATCTTCGGAAAGATGTTGAGAAATGGAGAACACTCCCACTCTCAATGATGGGCCGAATAAACGCCATTAAGATGGTGTCTTTGCCTAAATTTTTGTACCTCTTTCCGAGCCTACCAATTTTTTTAACAAGGGCCTTTTTTAAATCGTTGGACTCAATAATTTTGCCCTTTGTCTGGGGTTTTAAAATCCATAGAATATCAAAAACTCATTTACATAAACCAAGAGAGATGGGGGGATTAGGCTTACCATGCTTTCAACACTACTATTGGGCAGCGAATGCAAGGGCCTTGGTCTACTGGCAGGAGGGTGATGCTAAAGACCTCTTTGCAAATCCACCCCCCTGGGTGGCTATCGAAAGAAGCACTGTCGGAAACAGTTCTCTTCAGGCACTTCTTTTCTCAGCACCAATTTCCCCCAGAAATAGTGGAGTAAATAATTTGATTGTTTTAAACTGTTTAAAGATATGGAAACAAATTAAGGTACATTGTGACCTACCGAATACCTCAGTTCACACCCCAATTTACTGCAACCATGCTTTCCCCCCATCATTATCGGATATATCATTCAAAAATTGGAGGCTAAAAGGCCTAACTACAATCAAAGATTTGTACATCGACAAAAAGTTTGCTTCATTTGCAATGCTGAGGGACCGTTTCTCTCTTCCGGGTACAGATTTTTTCAGATATCTGCAAATTAGAAATTATGTTCAAATTAACATCCCAAACTTTGCATCTCTCCCCGAAGAAAATAAATTGGGCAGAATGCTGTTGGGCTCCCCAGAATCAAAAAAAGTAATTTCAAGCTTTGTTGGCATTTTTACAGAGGGAATTAATTTTGCCACAGACTCTCTGAGGGCTGCATGGGAGGGGGAGCTGGGCTTGCAGATTGGGAGTGAGGTCTGGGAGGAGGGTCTTGGGAGGATTCGATCATGCTCTATTAATGTAAAGCACCAGTTAATTCAGTTCAAGGTGTTTCACAGACTCCACTATTCAAAAATAAAATTGCATAGAATATTCCCATCAATATCTCCAAAATGTGATAGATGTAAATCTGCTGATGGGTCCTTGTCTCATCTGTTCTGGTCATGCCCCAAGCTCTTTCAATATTGGTGTGACATTTTCAAATGGTTCTCTGAAGTGTGTAAATGTACCTTGATTCCGGACCCCCAAATTGCATTGTTTGGATACTCTCCCTCCCTTAGGAACTTCAGCATTTCTATACAAACGACTGTGGTTTATGGAATGATAATAGCTAAGAAAGTAATATTAAGGCTGTGGAAAACTGACAAGGTTCCTTGGTTTAAAATGTGGATAAGCGATTTTACTGATATTCTTTATTTGGAAAAACTGCGGTATGATGTTAAGGACTCCACTAATAAGTTCTGTAGTATTTGGCAGCCAGTTCTGGACCATATCTCTCAGTCTAAGACTGACCCTGACAGTCGCTCAGTTTCTTAGTATGCCACCTGTGCCTTCATAGATATGTAGTACTATTCTAAAGTGTAAATGGTACCCGGTGCAGTGTAACAGTTATTTAGATAATTAGTCTGGCTTGTTTCCATTTTTTATGTTTATTTTATTTACTTTTTTTTTTTTTTTTTTTCGTCCTCTCTCTCTTCCTGTCTTTCTCTCCTCTCTTTCCCTCTGTTTATGAAGGGTTTTTTCTGTCTGTCTGTCTGTCTTTTTTTTTTTTTTTTGCTTTTTGCATTACTACTATTGTTGTACTGGTAAGAGTATATTTTTTCTTGAAACTTAATTTTTTAATATATATGTATGCTTTATACTCGGGTGTGTGATTTTTGTATGTTTCACTTTGAAAACTTAATAAACATATATTTAAAAAAAAAAAAAAAAAAACGCCTTGGTGTCTGACCAGCAAGCATGCAGTTCCCGCACATACTCCACCGAGGGAGGAACCACAAAGGCAGTCTCTGACCTACTGCGCCTAAAGAAGGCGCTGGAAGCCGCAG